CATGCGAAGCATCCTGTTTTTAATCTGCTTTTTCAACTCAACAACATACAATAAGGTTTCTTCCCATGTCATTAACTAATTTTCTTAAAGAATATGATTTTTGTTTCCTGTAGAATATTAATTTCTCATTATGGACATTTAAGTTTTAATAATTTTTGGTTTTATAAATAACTGTAACAAGTACTCTTAAGTATAAGTCTTTAGGCACATATCTGATCTTTAAAATTTAGACTATTTTGAGGAAGTTAAATTACTGGGCCTAAGATCACAAACATTTAAAGTCCTGTAATAAACAGTGTCAAACTTCCTTTCAGAAAAGATAACAGTAATTTGAGCTTCCTGCCAAAATTTTACGTGACCCATTTTCTCTATATTCTTATCAATACTAGGTATATTAAAAAATACTGGATCAATTAAAATGACGTCGCACTTTTGCTTTACATTGAATTTCTCTTATTACAAGTATATTTGAACAGTTTATTTCATACATTCATCAGCCTTTTATAGTTCTTCATTTTTATACTGCCTATTAGTGACTTTCTCCCTTTTTTTCCCCTGGGTGTTTTAAAAAATTATTTCAAGGGCTGGGGATTTAGCTCACTGGTCCTGCCGCCTGCCTTGCAAGCGCAAGTGTAAGGTTCTGAGTTCTATCCCTGGCACCCCCCCCATTATTTCAAAATAACGTTTTAATTTCCCACTTGAAAGATCTCTGGGCCTGATGTCTACACAGCTTTTCTGTGGAGCTTCCTTCATCAGAATGCCTGAGTCGGCCCAACACGATCTGGAGCTGGACTATCCCCTAGATGCACAGCACTGGTCTCGAAGTCAGAAGGATTTCTGCAGGATCTGCTCTTCCCACCTCCTGAATCTGTTCCGCTGTCCCCTGAGCCGCTGCAGCAGCCACACGCTTACCGTGAGGGAGGGAAGCCAGGCACAGCTGCTGTGCTTCATTTTCACATCCCAATCAGACACAGCCTGTCTGAGTTTCCAACAGCACAGCTGAGATATGGCTGTAACTTGCCTAAAGGTGTCCGGAAAGGAGAAAATGAAAACCGGCTACTGGGTCATTCTGAGCGCACATATCCAAGTTCTTCCTCCTAAGAACCCAGCTGACACTGCCCGAGCCATTTCCTAGGCAGGGTGACCTTTTCTTTTTCTTTTTTCTTTTCTTCACTCTCCTTCATTCTTCAATGGTTTCCTCTAATGCCTTTCTCCTGGATGGAGCGTCAAGTTCTCTTCCCCCATCCAAGGACTCATTTGGCAACTCTAGATTGGCTGCCACCACGATGATTGACAGTTGCAGTGGCCACTTGTCTCAGAAATAGAAACCCAATGTGCGGCCCACAGGGGCGGAGCTCTTTTCAGATTTCCTTTCTCCCAACAGAGGGTAATGATGAGGCCTCTACGAGTGTTCTGAAGTGCATTGATTCGGCCTAAAACCGAACCCTTTCTCTATAGAGTAGTGGAAATCCAAAAAGATAATTGCAAATGGCTGCCCATCAACAGGGACTGATGAATGAAGACAGTATAGCTTCGGCGTGGAGTATAACGCTGCTACGGTATCAGAAGGAATAGTAATTCTAAAGAATGCTAAGGAATCACCTCTATGACAAAATGTTTAAGGAGAAAAGCAAGGTAAACTGCAGCACATACCAATATTTATCTAAGAAAGAGGGAATGTAAGTGTCTGTGCATAGTTGTTGAATTACAAAGTAAGCCATAAATCATGAAATGAAATAGTTACTAAAAGGGGAGAGAAGAAACAGGTTGGAAAGAAAATGGTAGAAGCTGGTCTTCTCTAAATATACCTTGTTTGTCGAATTAACTTTGGAACCATGTAAATGTTTTTTACAATTAAAAATTAAAAAAATTAAAATGTAGTTCTTAAAATCAAAATCAAAATGAGAACAAATGAATGCAAATGTATGAGTTGTTGACTCAACCAGGCACGAAGTTATTTTAAGTGACTTTAAACAAAGTACACCTTTTGTGGTTTACAACTCGTTTTAAAAGAACTGAAAAAAATTTCTAGCTTTGTTCACTGAAAGGGCCTAGAAACAATGATCAATCCATAGTCACAACCTGATGCTCATTTAGGGTACATTAACACCATTTTCCAGTTAAAGGCAGAAGAAATCAATTGTAAAATGGCAGCTCCCACGTGTGGGTGGTGCAGGAAATGGCCACAGTGAGATTGAATATCTTATAACAGCAAGCAAAGATGCTATCAAGGAGGGACTCAGGGGCCAACTGGAAGAGGCACCTGCTATCCAAAGCAGGAGCAATTTGAGCAATGAGAAAAGGCAGGATGGCAATGGGTGAAACATATTAAATATGCTAAAATTCATGAGTCTGCAATCACACTTCAATACCTTGTGATCCTTTGGAGGATATTAGAGAACCAATTCATTATTTGGAAAACTCGTAAATAAAGGGAAAGAACAAAGCATTTTGCCAGCCTTTCCTGTATACATGTACCCCACGGAAACCAAAGAGTTGGTCAGGGATGATCTCATTGACATAAATAGCTGATAAATAAGGAAAGAAAACAGACGGTTACCATTTTGAAACCCCAAGTAACATAGTAGGATCGTCAATGGCTGCTGAAACTACAAAAGGAAAGACAAGGAAATATGATGTGCCTTCTGACAAAAGTGCACAACACCAGCTGTGATGTACTATTGTTCCCAAACAAACCCAAATCTGAGCAAGCCTTTAAATCTGGCCATCAGTACATAGGACATACTGGGTAGAGAAGAACATGCTAAGTGACACTGCTGACAATTTCTCTAACAGAGAAATTGCAAAGAAAATAAAAAGAAGAAGGAGGAAGGTATTTAAAGGTTACAAGGATTTAAGAGCCATAGAAATGTAATATATGAATGTTTGGGTCCTGATTTATACAAACTAACAGAAAGCATTTTTGAGACAACTGGACACTAATTGAATGCTTGATGATATTAAAAATTAATGTTAATTTAGTTGTGATGGTGAGGTCGATCTTTAAGAGAGTAGTTCTCGTCATGTATGGATAGATGTTGACGTATTTCCAGATGAGGTCAAGTCACATCTGAGAATTGCTCCAAAATAGTCTAGTGGGTGGTCATGGCATGGAGCAATGACATAAAAATGGTGTCAAATTGGGGATTCTCATAGTGGGGTAGTGGGAACAGGCAGGATCATTGACCTATTCGACTTTTGAATAAGTTTCCAATTCTTGTTTTAAAAAGTTGAAAAAGAAGAATAAGCAGAGAAAGAAAAGGAAGAGGAGGAGAAAGAGAAGGAGGAGGAGGAGGAAGAGGAGGAGGAGGAGGAGGAGGAGGAGGAGAAGTCCCCCTGTAGGCTTCACCAAGACCTTTAGGGTGGTCTCTTAGATTTTTCCAGAAGCTGATGGTGAAGGGCGATGCTTTAGTTCCTGAGGATTCCTGGGTTCCTTGAGCTGTGGAAACTTCCTGGACCAGAACATGCACACTCATCCCCCAGGTATAGGGGCGATGTTTAAAAAAGAAACATTTTTATCTAATCTGCTAAGATGCAACTTCACCCACAACAAGGATAGCCTTTTACATGGTTCTGTAGGACTATGTTCTTCAGAGTGTGCTCCAGGTAACTTTGGGGCCCTGAAGCTCTTTCAGGGATCCATATGGGTAAAACTATTTTCTTACCAGCACTCAAGTATTTCTGCTTTTTGCATTCTCATTCTCTCCACCAGTGAACAGAGGATTTTCCTAGAAGCTCCAAGACACTACATGGCTTTATCACTCTGACAGCTGAAGGAGTGTGTGCTTGTGTGTATCTGTATTCCTATTTATTTTTTTTCAGTTTGGTTCCTAATATATTAAATATCAATGGACACAGCCCACATGAACAAAAGCTTCTTGGAGTTCACAATCATGTTTAAGCATGTTGAGAGATGTTGAGACCAAAAAGTTGAGAACCTCTGATACAGAATGCAGCTTAGGCACTTAATGGGCTCATCTTAATTTCACAATAACATCACTGATTTGCTCTGAACAAACTAAAATTACATTTTGGTCTTTCCAGATAAAGGGACATTGGGTTCACAAACAAATCTAGATTCCTCTTCTTATGGCATGCGCGTGCGCGCGCACACACACACACACACACACTTACTTAAAATTTTGCTATTATTTGCTCCTAGCATCCACCCTCCCCACAAATCTTCAAAGCCTTAGGACCAGTCCTTACTCAAGGCTTGAGACCCCAACCTTAGGTTTTCTATCTCCCCAATGGCTTCTGCCAGAGTTAACTCTTCCCCAGGTACAGGAAGTCTGAGCCTACACAGGGCACCAGATGCCCCACCTACCTCTCCCAGAGCATGTCTTAAGGATCATGAGCTTTTCTTCTTACAACTATAAAATGAGGCCAATGTTTCTTGCCTTGCTGAGGTGATAAAATGATACAGCATGGATAAAAGCATTGAATTCCACCTAACATGCTTAGGAGGAATGGCAAGTTTACTTTATTACCAGATCACCAGAGTCCACAGAGAACCCAATGCATTTCTTTACTTTTCCCTGTAATGAAGCTCAAAGGCTATATGCGTTGGGTTTCAGAGAAGTCCTTCCTTTGTGCTCCTCCATCCTACCAGCCCCAGTACAGGTGTAATTTGTATCCAGGTCCTCAAGGTTCTGAACATTCATCTCATGTCCTTCTGGTGGGACAGCAGCAGATCCTTACACTGTGAGTGGGGGAAGCAAGAAAGGAAACAAAGATGGTCACACATGGAAGGCGTGTACCTAAAATGGTTGCTCATGAGTGATAGCTCTACACTACCTAGAGGACCATTTCAAGTGTCCTTCATGCTGTGGTCCCTAACAATCTTCATTCCAGTCCACGGACTGACAGTGCTGTTTGTACCGCCTCCGCCCCATCCCCGTGTTATCATGTCTCTCTGTATCTAGCTTAGGTTCTATAACCATCCTTCCATCCTGTATAATCACTTCCTTATGCCTACTCCACAATCTCTTTCCTTCTAGTAAACCCACGTGGCAGATCCCGAGTTTGGTGAAACCTGTGCCCCACCTACTCCAGCCTGCTCCTGAACAACTGAAGGTGACTGGAGACATCACAACCATGATTACCGGTCTACTGCTCTGACTCTTCACTTCTGACCACAGCACCTGCCAGCAACACCATTCTGTTTTCCTAGTCAGTCCACTCTTCTCTGAGTTGACTCTTCATGGTCCTTTAATCTGTCATCAGATCCTCGACACTAGAAAAACCATTCCTATATTGTCTAAATCTAGATACCTTTGGGCGGGAAAGGAGGCACTATTGATAATTTCGGGGAGAGACAACACACAAGACTAAAATTGCTCCAGATCACATTCCCCTATTTCTTTTTCTTCACTTCCATCTGACAGTTTCATGGCTTATTTCAGGGAGAAGCTACAAATCATAGAAGAGAGCTCCAAACTACTAATCTAAGTTTGCAACCACACACCAGGCTCTCCTGGTTCTTCCAATGGGTGATATATGAGTTTCCCGTGGCTGCCATAAGAAATTACCACACACTTGATGACTTAAACCAATAAAAATTTATTCCCTCAGAGTTCTGGAGACTAGAAGTCTGAAATGAAGGTGTTGGCAGAGCCATGCTCCTCCCAAAGGCTCCAGGGCAGGGCACTTCCTGATCTCTACGCTTCTGGTGGCTGCTGCCAGCCAGGTATTCCTTGGATCTCTTCAACCTCTCTCTCCATCTTCACATGTTCTTCTCCCCATATACCTCTGTCTCTGTTTTCTCTTCTTATAGGGACTAGTTACTGGATTAGGGCCCATCAGAATCCTGTATGACCTCATCTTAACTAATTATACCTGCAAATGAGGTTATGTTCTGAGGTTCTGGGTGAACATGAATTTATAGAGGACACAATTAAACTCAGTCTACATGGACTCTATGTGCCTAAGTCTAGTCCTCCATTGTAGCTTTTTGCATCTCCTCTTGATTGGATTTTTTTTTTTTGGTACCAAGGATCGAACTCAGGACCTTGTGCTTGCGAGGCAGGCTGCAGTACCACTGAGCTAATCCCTGGCCCTCCTCTTTACTGGAATCTTATTGCAATTCTCCCCTTTCCCTATTGCATGACTATTTCCCTACATTCATTACATTATTCCTGCTATTGTACAAACTGCTGAAATTGCTTCTATATTAAAAGCCTTTCTTGCATTAACACCCCCTCCACCTACCGACCCACTTCCCTGCTCTGTATAGCGAAAGGCCTCAAATGAATCACCTGTGTCCACCATCTGTACCTCTTGTCTGCCAAGGCTTGCGAACTTATTTCAGCCTAGCTTTCGGACTTTCCTGCACCTCCTAAGCCAGTCTCCATCCTGTCAGGCTCTGTCATCATTTTACCCAACCTCCCCCAACATTTAATGATCAGTCCTGCTGTGTTTCCCTTGGATCTGAGACAGCACACTTGGGTGCTTCCCTTCTCTGTCCTCCAGCCCTTCTTGGGCTCCTTCACTGCTTCCTTTCCCTCTTCCCAAATGCAAGCAAGATGGAGGGCTTCCTCACTGGCCATCTCCTCTTCCAGGCCGGTGCTCACTACCCAGTGACCACAGTGTCCCCTTTCCTTACCACCCCCTCTGCTGACCGCTTCTACCCAAGGGTCCAGGCTGAGTTCCTGACTCTTATCAAATACCTCCTCATCTCCATTGAATGTCTTGAGTCTCTACTCATCTTAAAATTAACACATCCAAGACTGAACTACTGATTTCTCCTCACCCAGCCTAATGCTGCCTACCAAATTATATCCCCAATTTTCCTTATCTCAGTTAATAGCTATTCCATTGACCCAAATACTCAGACCAAAAATTTAGGATTCTTCTTCCTTATTCTTACTCTATGTACAACCCAAACAGAGCTCTTCACCTTGACGCTTCCTCCTCACACATGGACTCTGTCCAGCTCATTCCAATCTCTGCCCAAGAGCCAGCGACCAGACTGTGCCGTGCCGTTGTTCGTTCCCTTGCTCACTGCTCCCTCCCCTCTAGACCCTGCAAACGACCTCTCACATTACTTAGAAGAATCCAGATTCTTGTTTTGGATTTTTGAGACAGAGTCTCTCCATGTAGCCCAGGCTGGCCTTGAACTCGCAGCAATCCTCCTGCCTCAGCCTGGTGGGATTACACACGTGTGCCACCATGCCCAGCATAGCCAAATTCTTGACATTGACCTACAAGGCACTTGGTTAGCTGCTGACTTCTCTCTTTTCAGGCTCTCTCTTGCTCAGTGGCTTCAGCCACACTGGCTTAATTGTGTGACCTTGAACACATCAAGATTCTTTGGATCTGGTGCTTTGCCTTTTCTATGTTCTCTTTCTGACATTCTCTGCCCTTGGGTGTGATTTTCATTTTTAACGTCTGCTCACACTGTTTGGGTTTCTGCTCAGGTGTTTCCATGTTGGTGAGATCTTGCCTTCTCTAAAGCCATATCCCCTAGCCCAGCACACCCACCTCAATTCCTCTCTCTCTCTTTACTGAGCTTCACGCCCTCCCCAGTTCCTCCCCAGTTCCACTAGTTGAAAGAATAGTTTATTATGCACACATTCTGTTTTCTTGACTTACGTATTCTCTCTCTCTCCTCCATCGCACTATAAGCTCCAGGAGGGCAGGGTATTATTTGTTGTTTAGCCAGAACAACACCTGGCATATTGCAGAGATAGAATAAATACGACTTTACTTCAATTGTTATTATATTGTGGAAGTAAAATATTTTCAAAGTAATGCTGAAAATAAAGTTTAATAACAAGAGTTTCTTCACAGCTTGAAAGCAATATTCATTTGGAAGGTTTTATTGGATTTACTGCCTTTCTATAGAAATCTTGAACATTCAAAGGATATTAATGAGAGACATCTCAAGTTTGAAATGAGTAACGGTAGTTGTTATAATAATTATAACAGGTACCACTATCCAGCCCTTATTTGTGGCAGGCACTTTGTGAGGATTGTCTCATTTAATTCTCAAGACATCCCTATGGGGGATTAATCACCTCAATTTATAGGTAGGGTGTGGTAGTTTAAAAATCTGTCTGTAAATTCTTTGATAGTTTTCCCTTTAAAAAGTGGAGCCTAGGGCTGGGGATTTAGCTCAGTGGTGGCCTCGAAAACGCAAAGTCCTGAGTTTGATCCCCGGTACCAAAACAAAACAAAACAAAAAACCCAAAAAGTGGAGTCTGATTTGCCTCCTGTTGAGGGTGGGCTTAGCTTAGTGGTTCAGTTAAGGATACAATATGGTGGAAGTGACAAAGTTTGGCACACACAGTGAGATCTTCAAAGGCATTATGGCTTCCCCCGCTCTCTTCTGGATCACCCATCACCTCCGCATCAAGTAGCCTTAGCGCAGGTGATGACATTAGATCAGCTGCCGAGTGCCGAGCAAGCTGCTGCTTTGGCAACGCGCGAAGTGTTGCGCGGGGGGAGATGGGAATGGTACGAGGGTGCTCACAGCCCAAGGAAGAGACCTGTGTGGCTAACGGCTGAGGCCTCCTACCTTGAGAGGCATCTTGGAGGCGGATCCCCAGTCAGTCCAGCCAGGCTTTCTGCTGACTGAGTCCCAGTGGACCCTTTCACTGCACTCTCACAAGAGACCCTGAGCCAGAACTACGCACGTCTGCTACTCCCAAATCCATGTGCCACGAAGTCAGTGAGATTAGACAGGCCCCTTGCTTTAAACCACTATGTTCTGGGGATAATGTATTGTCATAGTAAGTAACACGCATCTGGAAATGGAAGGACAGAGGGAGTAAGGGCCTTAGGTCATACAGTTAGTAGTGACGATGCAAAAATTAGCATCCAGTCAGTGTGGATGTTCAACCACGGCCCACCACAAGAGGTCAAGATTAAGCCTCGGTGACTTGCTTTAGTGTCTCTGTTAGGGCTGTGAGTACCACCTTCCCCTGGATAGTAAACTGTCTGGTCTTGCTTTAGAGTAAGGCCATCCCAGGCAGCTACTTCCTTTGCTTCTGAGTCCCGTTCTGTCCCAGGTTTGTTTTAGCCTACAGTGGACAACTATCTTTGCCATAATCCTTCTGGTATTCCTGTGAACTTCTGCTCAATCCCACTTCCGGTTCTGTAATTTGGCAGAACTGCCAATCTTCATATTCTCTATCCCCATAGGTGGGTTTATGGCTCAAGCCTGGCCAATCGTTGTGTATTATCAGTGATTGAATACGGTGATTGGGTCAAAATGGAAGCACATGAGCCAAAAGGAGCCCTTCCCTGGGAGGTATAAGTCCTGCCATGTTTTCAGCCACATGGAAGAAGCCTATCTTCAACAGGTCCAATGTCAGCATACATAAGGAAGCAGAATGAGAGAGATCATCTTTATATTCTATGAGATCTTGAAGCAAGCTAATCATAAGGGCAATTCCATTTTTCCCCAATCTACATGACTGAATACATTTTAAGATAAAAAGAATGAAGTTTCGTATCACTTGCCCTTAAGCTATGATTATTATGAAGAGTCTTCTTCCAGCATGTGGAAGATGGCTGTTATCTTCCACGCTCCAAGGGCAGCCAGGGTTCTCCATCACTGAGAACCTGGAGCCCTGGTTCTTATGGGTGGCAAAGACCCTTCCCCTCTTCAACCTTCTCAGGAAGCACATGTCTTTCCTGGAAGCCAGTGGTGGTCTGGGGTAAACTCAAAATAAAATAGTGTGATGACAGGTGGGTGGCTCAGTTGCTCAGTTTCAGGCCTTAGTCATCTGTGTATCCTTTTTTTCCTTAGTTGCCCACCCCTCCCCCAGTCCTCTACAAACAGACATCCTGTTAGTCATCAAGTCCTGTTGATCTGGATCAAATGGTTCATGGAAGTAGGTGGGGTAGCCTAATGAAAGTGAGCTTGATTCCTTCCTCTGAACATCTCACAAATCCAGTTTTACTTCTTCATTTTCCTGCTGCTACCAGGGACCTCTGAAATGGGTTTCCCTGCCTCTAACCTCAACCCTTGTTGTGGATTTCTCACATTTCTTCTAGATTTTGCTTTCTTCTAAAGTATACTTTTCATTGCCACTTGCTTTTGATTGATCCAGTTTTCCATTGCTGATCTGCTAGTCAGACTTCTTAGCTTAGTGTTCAAGACACTACATGTGTTGACCTGCATTTGCCATGCGAGGGCCTATGACCTTCATAGAACCATTTTCTAGTCTTCTTAGAGTCATCTTGTTGTAGAATCGCATGCCATCTTCCCCTGTTCTTTCTCCAAACTGTCCCACTGTCCCTCCTTCCCTGAGTCTATCAGATCCCCTTCAGTCTTACCTCCTCTGTAAAATATTCCCTGAGCATTCCAGTCCACACTGAACAGCCAACCCTTTAGGGAACTCCGCAAACAACTGTTGTCTGGACTGGTTTTTCAAATTTCACTCACATTCCTAGTGAGTCTTTGGCCAGCACAAGTCAAGTTTTTGGTGTTTTCTTTAAACTACTGATTATATATTCAAATTTGGCTGAGCATATTATTTCCAAAGAAACCCAGTTTCTTTCTTGTCTTCTAATTCCAAATTACTTCCTCATGCTATGATAGTGCATTTATTTCTGAGAACAAATTAAAGATCATTAAAATTTGTTTGGCTACCTACAGATAGAGAAGTGCTTATTATTGTCATTATTTAAAACCATGACCATTAGGAAAATGCCAACATGAAAAGGAAAGGGAATTGCTGCAACAATTTCCAGTTTCTAAACCAATTTGGTGACTTTTAAAAGTTTGACAGTCTCTCCATTAAACCATTCCTCCGGGCCTGTCACCGTTCCAGTCTCCAGGAGGGGAGTTAGGAGTCCTGATTCGGACAGAAACTGAGTCCCGCTGGGGTGGCCAGGCCACATTACATAGACAGAGCTCCTCCACTTCTCAGATCATCGAAGTAGGGAGGACAGCAAGTGACCAGCCATGGTTTCCCCATTGAGAAACGACTCAGGGATATGAGTCACGCGCATATAACATCTGAAGAGAGTCAGGAGTGGTGCGAGGAAGACCTGGCCTCCAGTTTCAGAAAAGCCTAGCCACTCAGATCCAGTGATGATTCTGTATCTCTAAATTTATGTTTATATTTATAAAAGGAGATGCCTTTTTGCTCAAGGGTGACCTTTTATCTGTGAAAGATGACTTAAAGGAGGGTTCGGGTTTAGAAAGCCTTTCCAGTCCCTGCAGCTCTGGAGCCTGGCACACAGTAGGACTCCCTCCTCGTCGCGGATGGCTGAACGCACCCTTGCACTCCTTGCAGGCGCATGGCTCATGGACCCTCCGGGATCCAAAGTCCACTGTGGGCAGGGTCCCCGCACGCTCGTACAGGGCCCTTGAGCAGTTGGGTGGACTTTGGGAAATGTTTGTTGACTAACGGATAAGTGTACGGATAGTGGAGCCGAAGGCTTGCGCAGGGAAGGCCGCACCTGGCCCTAAACACTTCGCAGGCTTCATGAGGGTGGCCGGGCTGTCCTGGCTGGCTCTTGAGAGCACCTCTGGACGGGTCATCTCGGCCCTCCTCCCAGTGCCTCTTTTTGCACACCAGCCTGGAGCGGCGGGGGCCGCGCAGCCCCGAGGGGCCAGGTCTTCCCAGGCGAGGGTGGGGGCCGGGCCAGCTGAGCGGGACCGGGGGACCTGCTCCTGCCCCCCTCTACCTGCCACCCCGGCCGCCCCTTCGCGGTCCCGGGCCGGCCCGCCCGCGGGCACCTGGCCCTCCACCCCCGGCGGCCCCCGCCGGCCACCCCAGCAGAGGGCCGAGGCGGCGGGGCGGGCGCGGTGTGACTCGGCTGGGACCGGTCCCCCAGGGCGCGGCCGGGCAGCCGCCCCCGTCCCCCCTCCCGCCCGGGGGCCG